GGGTGGGACAGGCCGTCCCCGTGCCGGGGTCCCCTCTCTTTGGGGTCTCCCAACACTCGGCTCTGCCGGCTTAAACACGGCGGTCCCAGGCGAGGCGAAACGCCCACAGGCTGTGGCCTCAGCTCTTGATGCCATCAGTTGAGCGTTCTGAGCACCTTGCCCCGCTTCGCAGGGCAGCAGCTCTCCTCCGAGCAGGTCTCTGAGAAGAGAAAGGAGGACTTTGGCTTCTGAATCTGTTTGGTTTTCAGCCACGCTCTTTCTTCGTGGGCCCTCCTCATGTGGCAATGACTAGGCCACCGAAAGCTTCCCCTGCTGACAACGGGACCTGGGCAAACCAAGCGAGCAGCTTGGCACGTGTTTGCCGCGTGGCTCTGAGCAACGCAGCGCGAGCTTGCCCCGTTCCTCTCTCCCCAGGGCGTTTTTCTGGCTGGTGTCGCTGCTCCTGGCGTCTCTGATCTGGTTCATTTCGGTCCATCTCAGTGACCGAGAGGACGCCAAGCTGCAGTACGGCCTCCTCATCTTTGGGGCTGCCGTCTCCGTCCTGCTGCAGGAGGCTTTCAGATTCGCCTACTTCAAGCTGCTGAAGTAAGAGCCTGTCCGAGGGCGGCTCTGTGGGGCTGGGTGATTTGTTCTGGTTGGTGCCTGACCTCCGCTTTTTCTCCGAGGAACCCCACAAAGTACCTTCCTCATTAGATCCTGGGAGAGAGCTGTTCTTCCTCACCCCGGGCTCGTTTATAACCATCCCTTCCCCTCTCCTGCGTGACGAGGTCCCGGTTCCGAACTAGCCACTCACACTTTCTCTCCCTCCCGAGCAGGAAAGCGGATGAAGGCCTGGCGACGATCAGCGAGGACGGCCGGTCCCCCATCTCCCTCAGGCAGATGGCTTATGGTGAGCATGAAACCCAGGCAGGGCTTGGGCAGTCTCTGACCTCCCTGTGCTCTTCCAGGGCTGTCTGGCAGCGGGATGCTCGGATATCGGAGACTGGCGGCGGTATTGATGAGCCCGCTGAGCTAATGCAGCCTTCCTGGTTCTCTCTCCCACTCTCCTGCCTTTCCCTGGGCCCGCGCAAGAGTCTGGGGCTCGTGATGGAGGCAGCACGGCCGCCGGGGCTCTGGGCTGACTCCCACCCCGCCCGCCGTGGCTCTGGGCTGACTCCCTTCTCCCTCCACAGTCTCAGGCCTGTCCTTCGGCATCATCAGTGGCGTGTTTTCCGTCATTAATGTCCTGGCAGACTCCATCGGGCCGGGCATCGTCGGGATCCACGGGGACTCACCCTACTACTTCATCACGTCCGGTGAGGCTTGAGGCCGGCGCGTGCTGTGGGACACGTGTTTGGGAGCCGGGGTGCTGCGGCAGCACCGGTTACAGCCGGAGTCCAGCTTCGGTGCGTGACCCTTCGCCAAGGCGAGGAGGAGGAAGGCTCTGAGGGGGGTCTGTGTCACGCTCTCCCCACAGCGTTCCTCACCATGGCCCTCGTCTTGCTCCACACCTTCTGGGGAGTGATCTTCTTCGACGCCTGCGAAAAACGCCGTTACTGGTGCCTGGGGCTG